CCATGCAGTGATCAAATCTGGGCCTCCCACATGTATAATATTATACATTATATAAGGAAACACATTTCAAATTATGAAAAACAAGTCTGAAAACAAATGTCTTGGAAATATGGAATAACAGGTATGCAAGGATTTGACAAGAAAGAGCAAGTTTAATTTGTATGTATTGTTGGAATGAAAAGTGGTGTGTCTTCTTTGAAAAATATCTTAAAAAGCTGCACATACATATTTTCAAAAATATGAAAGTTTATGTCAGTACAGAGTATTTTATTTCATTTTAGTACAAAATATTTTAATTAAATGTTTATATTATTTTTGTTTATATTGTCAAAATTTTAGATATTATTTATAGCTCTGTCACTGTCACTGTCCTCCCCGTTGTTCATCGATTTGCTCGAGCAAGCCCAGTAACACTGTGAGACTTGTTACTGTATTTGGCATATCAAATAAATCACGGGTAGCTTGCCAGGCTTTGCCTGGTGGGCGAGATACTCTCAGTAGCTTGCCGAACTCTCTGAGAGGAGCCAAAGAATCAAACTCGGGATGGTCATATCAGCTGCATGCAAGGCAAACGTCCTACCCACTGTGCTATTGTTCCAGCCCATTTATAGCTCAGTAAATTTAAATGAAAAAACAAGTGTGGAATAAATGGCAGCTACTTTTAATTTTTTACTGATAAATAGAACCTTGATTAGTCTCTAAAACATCATGCACCATAAAATAAGACACACATTGTATGATATCATTAGTATAAAATTCGATAAAATTCCAATTTTATCAAATTTTTTTATTGGTGGGAGAATAGATCAGATGTTACTAAGGATTAGAGAATGAGAGGAGTAGTGGGTACATATTAGGGGAAATGTGTCCTCTCAAATGACTGCTGTTTAAACCTCAATAGAACAATAAAATAAAAGCCATTCAACTGTATACTATAAGTGTTGTATACTTTGACATATATGGATAACTATATATAGACATACAAATCAATATAGACACAGTTCTTACCCCCTTTCTTGTTTTGATTTAGGGCCACAACGGCAAAGCTTGGGACTTACTCCTTACTCCATGGTCAGAGATCACTCCTGTTGATGATTAGGGTGTCTTAAGTCGTACTAGTGGGATCGAATCTACATCAGCTACATGCAAAGTCAAGGCTTATTATACTAACTCTGCAATCTTGGTTTTATTCTAATTTCCTTGTCTGACTGGAAAGTTAGGAAGAAACTAGCATGCATTTGGTTTCTGGAAGCACTTTATCTCCGCTTCATACTTTTCAGAGGGAACAGTCTGCTCCTTTGAGGAAGGCCTGCTTAGTTTCTGTACTGTCTCATCCCACAGTCTATTTTACAGTCTATTTGATAGAGTCGTAAACTTTATTCATTCTCAAATAATGAATTATACTTGGCACATCTTCATTTTTAAATGGATCACAATCAGATGAAGTTTGATCACAATCATCCTCAAAGTTTACTAATATTTGATGCATTCATTTAGGATTTAAGTGTTTTAATAGAGTTTATTAAGAAAACATGAAGAACCACTTGGTGGTCCAGTACATGTAAATTTGATCCTGAACACTAGGTAAGTTTAAAATTATTTCTTTTATATTATATGAAGTTAGGCTACAAAAGATTTAATTGAGAGTTTTTAAAATCTTTTCAAAGACTCTGGCTCTTATTCTATCTTTCACAAGTCAACATCTGCCTGCATTCAGTGCACTTCATGATTATAATATCCCTGGACTATAAAATTCATCATGAACAAAAGAATGCTTAAGAATGCTGACTATATAACTCAGTATTCTAGCACATTTCTCTATTTGTATGTAAAGCCCAGATTTCAATGCACAGTAGAACACACACACACACATACACACACACACACACACACGCACACACCATAAATATACCTACTAATTGATTACTACCTACTAATTAATAATTTTATTGTAAAATTGCGATGCAGTTTTTCCCTCTCTGAGAGCCTGGCAAGCTACTGAGAATATCTGCCCTCACAGCAGAGCCTGAGAAACTACCCATGGTGTATTCAATATGCCAAAAACAGTAACAATGATGGATCTCATTCCCCTGACCCTGAAAGAGCCTCCAATACGGGAGAGTTGGGAAGGACAGGAGGAGAGGTTGCTAAAATCTCAAGGCTGGGATGAACCGAGACATTACTGGTGCCCGCAAGTCGATGAACAACAGGAAGACAGTGATAGTGATAGTGATAAAATTGCAATATGGCTATGTATTTTGTTACAAAATAATATAATAGCAAGGTAAATTTTTTTTGGCTTTTTTGGGGGGGCAGTGGCACTCGGTAATGCACAGGGCTTACTCCTGCATCATACACTCAGGAATTACCCCTGGAGGTATTCAGGGTACCATATGGGATGCTGGGAATCGAAACCAGGTCAGCCCCGTGCAAGGCAAATGCCCTACCCACTGTACTATCACTCCAGCACCAATGATAGTAAAGTAATTCTTATGTTAACTGACAACTCTCATGAATACATGAATTATATTGATGTAATTAATGGCAATTATTTAATGTAATAATCCCCAATTAACTATATTATATCATATAGTTGTGATGGGTTGGAGTGATAGCACAGCAGGTAGGGTGTTTGCCTTGCACATGGTTGACCCGGGTTCGATTCCTCCACCCCTCTCCTGGCAAGCTAGAGAGAGTATCTCTCCCTCAAGGTAGAGCCTGGCAAGCTCCCCATGACATTTTCGATATGACAAAAACAGTAACAACAAGTCTCACAATTTGTTGTGAGATGTTACTGGTGCCCACTTGAGCAAGTCAATGAAGAAGGGGAGGACGGTGCTACAGTGCTACATAGTTGTGATGTATAATGTATATTACATTATATTGCAAAACTAGTTGTGTCTATAGTACAGTTGTACTGAAACATTAGGTCTCTGTACTCAAAACATCTTAGCAGAACCTAATCAATGTAGTGTCATCTGTTTCCTCCGACTAAGAATAGCTTCAACCATTTACCTTAAAGTTTCTTATAATTCTATTTAATTTCATTTGTGTGATAATTTAACAATTAAATTTGGGAAGCCATGGGGTTTTTGAAGTACCAAAACTTACCCTGAAATTTTCAAGGCATCGGTCTCTTTTATCAAAACTAGTTATATAACAGAAGTATTCTGTGAGGATAGGGTGGCAGGGGGTTATTAGGATGTTGAATAACACTGCATCTTCAGAGTATGATTTTTCATAAATTAAGTAGGCTATATAATTCATTAACTCTCAGGGAATAATGTTTTAAAAACCATGAATCATAGCATCATATACCAGCTATTTTCAAAATATACAGAAAGTCTGAAATTTCTTGACTCCATGTAATCCATATATTAGTTTATGTTATCATCAGTGTTTTTTCAGTAGTTAGGTTGTTAATTTCGTTCTTTGTCATTCAAGATTTAGACATACCATAGCAATGCCTTATGATATTATGCTGTTGTGAGCATAAATTTTAATTGTGCTCAAACCCAGGGTCACCTATAAATGAAGCATTAGCTACATGAATAGTTTCTGAAAGTACTTTTTTACAAGGTCATCTTTGACTCCTCAGCATTTTCTGTGTAATACTTCAATCAGATTCAATAACTTTATTTGATTTAAATTATATAACAACAATACTTGGCATATCTGTATCTTTATTAATTTTGTAAAATGCATGAGGACAACAATAATAAAATCTATTTATAGTTCTAAGCTATTAAGTTGAATTTGACACATTTTGTTTTGCAGTCTGTCACTTTGTGACTTACACATATCCCCAATGACTGGTTTGAATGTAAACCTTTAAGTAGAGACTAGGAAGAAAAAGAAATGTAAGAACTAGCACCTGATTTCCTTGTTAAAAAAATAATAAATAAAAACTAACTGGTTATCTTTTTTATCTTTAGATATTTTTACTGTTGTTTTAGATGTCTTTGAGATGTCTTTCAATTTCTTTTTGAGGAATGAGACATACTCTCTTGTATTTGACCTTGAAGAAATGTATACACATATTAGCTTATTTATAAATGGAGTAAGATTCTAGTGTTAGCTTTCTAGAGCTCCTAACATCTTTTACAAATCCTTTCTTTCAAAGAGCTGAAATCATTATAAATGAACTGCCAACATTTCAATCATCTCAGCATTAACTGAGAGCAGCACAAGGTGATTTTGTGAATATAAAAAACAGAATTAGGTTGAAGACTGACAATGGGAGTACATGCTATGTGATGTGCAAATCTGTGTAAAAGGTAATAAATGTGAGTTACCTTCAGGGATTCTTTTAGAAAAGGAAAGAAAGCATCCATGGAAAATATTAAGGCTATCTTAATTTTAAAAACTCCATTATGAAGTCTGTAATTCGATTTTAAAATAACAACTTTCGATGTCTCAAAAATATGAAAGACATTATTAAGATACTTGCCTACGATAAAGATATCATAGGTTCTGTTACATTAAAATGTTTATGCTATAATATTTTAAGGACTAAGAGAAGTTTCTCATGTATAACTGTGTTCATTACTAGTTAGTGGTCAGACTCATGAAATGTTTGATATAATGTTTTCAGAAAAAAAATTTAGAAAATATGAATGTGAAAAAATTCACATGAAATTCTAAATTATAGGATTTATCCAAATTGTGCTGGAGTGATAGCACAGCGGGTAGGGCGTTCGCCTTACACGCGGCCAACATGGCCTACCCGAGTTCGATTCCTCCGCCCCTCTCAGAGAGCCCGGCAAGCTACCAAGAGTATTCGATATGCCAAACACAGTAACAACAAAGTCTCCAATGGAGACGTTACTGGGCCCGCTCGAGCAAATCGACGATCAATGGGAGGGCCTTTACCTTTACCTATCCCAAATTGTAAAAGTAATGCAGAAAACTGCAATAGAATTTTAACATTTTTATATTAAATTTTAATTATTGTTAGAGTACAATGAAAACACTCAAAGCAGAAAAATTGGGAAATATTATCATCCACTATGATAATTCTTGCCTGTTAGTCTATCTAAGAGGGCAGATAAAAATGATTATTCAAGATTGCATGATTCGTGTTTAAGGTCTCTGCATGATTAGGGCTCAAGAAAAACAAATTCAATTTAATTTAATTTAAAAGAAAAAAATAAGTACACATTAAAGAGAAAAAATGTAAGAACAACCCTCGATGCCTTATAAGGTCATGTACCAGCCTTCTTCAAAGATTCATAAATAAATCTTAAAAGAGATCAACAAACCACAAAATTTTTTCAGATACTCATTCCCAGCTGAGACCTCTTTGGCGATCTTTGAGGTCTAACTCTTCAACACTGTTGTCCCAATAGAAACAGACCAGATCGAACAAGTCGCAATGCAGAGGTCAACACATGTCAAAGAACAAAAACATTAACACAGAAGGCTTAACTTGCACCAATAGCTTAGTAAAAATCTCAGACAAGGACTTAATGTCCCCATTGTGAGATACAACAATTTTCACATTTTTCCATCCAAGGAAGTAAATTTTTCATAATTTATAATCCATTTACTGCTAATAAGCAATACAAATTACTTATTGTGGGCCAGGTAGCTATGGGGGCAGGCTTTATGGGTAGCCGGGAAAATGGAGACAGTGGTGGAGGGAAGGGGGTAATAGTGCTGGTGGGATTGGAGTTGTAATATTGAATGCCTGTAGGAAATCATCATGAACAACTTTGTAAAATACAATGTCTAAATGAAATTGAGGGGTAAAAAAGGAGAAAAATATCAAAATTTGAACAAACAAGAAGGGAGAAATATTTACAGTGATTATTTTTTTCAATTGTTAGAATTTTTTTTTCTTTGTTTCTTTTCTTTCAGAAGCATTTTTAGTTTGTTGTAATCTGGATTATTTTTCCAGTGCTCACTTTGGCAGCACATATACTAAAATTTATTTTTTTGCCAAATTTTTCATTAACATATTTTATGTTTTTAGCATCCAGTTCTTTTAATAAGTTTTACATAGCTTTTGTTAATGGTGTGAAGTAGACATTCAGTTCTATTTAATATGTGCAATCTAATTTCCCAAAAATTTAATTAAATTACTTCTCTTTATTCATCTTCTCTTAGTTATTTTATCATAAAATGATTCCCATATATAGGGCTGGAGCGATAGCACAGCGGGTAGGGCGTTCGCCTTACAAGCGGCCAACATGGCCGACCCGAGTTCGATTCCTCCGCCCCTCTCGGAGAGCCCGGCAAGCTACCGAGAGTATTCGATATGCCAGACACAGTAACAACAAAGTCTCCAATGGAGACGTTACTGGGCCCGCTCGAGCAAATCGACGATCAACGGGAGGGCCTTTACTTTACTTACAGATCTAGATATCTATAAACATAGAAGCAACTCTATGATACATATGTGTATATATATATTAATTTATGATACACAAAAATACACACATATGTCTGTGTGTATCTTTAATTCTGATTCACTTTATTCCATTCATCTGTGTGTTTATTTTTGCCCAAAACCTTACATTTATGGTTTTTGTTGCTTGCAGTATAGTTTGAAGTTGGTGGCAAAATTTCTGTTTTTTTCACATATTTTTTTGGGGGGGATTGTTTCTGTTGTTAGTAGTTGTTCATAGTTTTATATGGATTTTGAATTTTTTTAAATTTTCTTAAGGCATATCATTATGGTTTTGATAGAGATACCATTAAATCTGTATGTTCTTTTGTGTAGGATTTTCTTTTACAATTTTAATACTTCAATTCATTAAATTGGAGTATTTTTCCATTTCATTGTGTTTTCTATTATTTGAATGGCATACTTTCTCAGAAGCCTTTTTTACCTTTGTTATGCTTAGTAGATTATCATACTAATAATTGTAAATTGGGTTTTATTATTTATTTTCTACTTCATTGTTTCCATATTGCAATGCAATTGATTTTTTAAAAATTTTTCTTACTGTTTCCTGTTTTGCCTATTTTTCAGCAATGACTGGGGTCACATACATCTACTTATCTGTGATACATGCTGGGGATAATACAGTTAAAGTTTTAGTGCTAATATGTGCTTGCTATTTGTTGTATTTCTTGGTTGTGGTATCATATACATGATCAGTGTGTGGGGGATGTGTATTTGCTCATGGTTCTCACTGAATTTTTACTTGGGTACTTGTCAGGATTTATTTGCATGCTTTATCTGTGATACTTATACTCAAAATGTGGTCTCTCAGAGTGTGCTTTCTGCGGCACTAGCTATGCCATGGCAGAGCAACTGAGATTACATTTGGCACATAAAATATTGCTGTGGAAAAAATGGTCTTCACAGTATGTTTTGTGTATTGAGTTTATAATCTACCCTTTTAAAGTTTGGCTTATTATTCCTAGTAGTTTTGTGAGACTTTTTTGTTAATTTCACTCATATCTGCAAAAACTGGTATTTTTACTTATTATATTCAAATTGGATAAAAGTAAAGTAAAGGCCCTCCTGTTGATCATCGATTTGCTCGAGCGGGCCCAGTAATGTCTCCATTGGAGACTTTGTTATTACTGTGTCTGGCATATCGAATACTCTCGGTAGCTTGCCGGGCTCTCCGAGAGGGGCGGAGGAATCGAACTCGGGTCGGCCATGTTGGCTGCGTGCAAGGCAAATGCCCTACCCGCTGTGCTATCGCTCCAGCCCTTTTCTATTTCTTATTTTCTTTTGTAAAGGCTAAGACTGTACATGAAGCTTAAACAACTCTTTAGAAAAAAATACAAGATTTTAAAAGAATGAGAATGAACAGTTGAACAGACACTTCATCAAAGAATATACATGTTTGTGACAGGCATGTGAAAAAAATGGTTATTATTGATTCTAATCTAAGAAATGGAATTCAAAATGAAAATAAGATACCACATTAACCCTAAGAATTATATGTACATACATATATATGTGTACATATACATTTATATTACATATGTAGATAGGTAATGCACATGTGACAATATACATATATTATGTAATATATATGTAATATATATATACAGCCATAGGCAACAAATGCTTGGTTGCAATGTAAAGTAGTCTAGACTCTATGGGGAGTAATATGGAGAACTTTCAAAATATTAAAAATACTTCTACTGTGTGATCAGCAATTTCACTACCAGATATCTAGACTGAAAACCTGAAAACAATCATTAATAAAAGAAAAAGAAACACACACACACACAAACATATATCTACACTATTCAATATCCAAAATCTGGCATTTAAGTCTTATTCATACATGGCATAAAGATAAGCAAAGTATTTTAATAAATCAATGAATAAAAACTAATGAACTCAGACAGCAGAGCTGTGGTTACCAGAGTGGGAAAGGAAATGGATTATCAAAAGCGGGGTTATCAGTGGACTGTGGTAAAGGAGTGAGTGCCACTTTGGTGACAGTTGTAGTGTGTAATATATACTTTGTAGATGCATAATGGTGTGTCCTTAAAATTCATACAGTATAAATAAATAAAATATAATACTAACTCAATACTAAGAAAAATTTAAAAATTGCATTGGGATAGCAAAATCTTGAGTCTAATGGCTAGCTGATATGAAGATTTGTCAGTTGATTGTTGTAATAACTCGGTTCAACAATTAAAACAGAATTTGGATTACTTAATATAGCACAGGGGCTGGAGCAATAGCACAGCAGGTAGTGCCTTTGTCTTGCATGTGGCCGACCTGGGTTTGATTCCTCCATCCTTCTCAGAGTCCCCGGCAAGCTACCGAGAGTAGCACAGCAAAGCCTGACAAACTACCGGTGACATATTCAATATGCCAAAACCAGTAACAACAAGTCTCACAATGGAGAAGAAGTTACTCGTGTCCACTCAAACAAGTCGATGAACAGTGGGAGGACAGTGCTACAGTGCTATGGTGCATGATTCATAGATAAATAGTAAAATGAGTGGAAACTTCTTAAAATGAGTGGAATCTTCTTTTACCTAAATTTTATGTTGAAACAGGAATAACACTTTGGTTGAACTTACATACAAGGGAAATAAACTTCAAGAAACCCAATAAGAATAATAAACATTATAGGTTATCTTATATGTAAAAAGACTAAAAACAAAAACATCTTGAATTTAATTTAGAAGGAAAATGACTACAATAAACTAATGTATATTCAATGTAGATACATATTACTAATAAAAAATAATTTAAACATAATAAAGGAAAAATATAATCATAAATTTTTAGATCATTAATTCAAAATTAAATACTTTAAAACAGTATCTAGGTTATCTCAAGAAAACAAAGTAATGTATGTTTATAATAAATAAACAAAGAGAGTTTTGAAAAGGAAATATATTAGAAATGATTAAAATTCTAGACATGAAGAAGAAATTTGGATAAACTGTAAGAAGATAAATACATGGACTAAAAATACAAAGATAACAAAATTTTTAAAAAATAGGTAATATTAGATACATAGAATCTAAGTTTAAGGTATCTAACACATGAGATACTGTGATTTTCATAATAAAGAGGACACAAACTCTATGTAGATAGACTGGAAGATTGTAAAATAATTTGGGCATATGCCTAGAATGCTACCAATCCTAGTTCATGTTCCAGAACCATCTAGTATACTGAGTGTTTTCAGGTGCAGCTATGGAAGCCTTACTTGGATATCCCCTGCAATATATAATCTTGAGCAGTATTTCATCATAATGGCCTGATTGGTAAAGAGTCTCTAGAGGAACACCTAGACTTATTGAGCACCAGTTTGGAACCCTAGTGGTGACATTCAACCCAGCAAAAAAAAAAAATGTTTTTCCTAAAAATTAAAAAATGTAAACATGTAGATTTTAGAGAATCATGGGATTAATAATATTTTTTTGCTATAAGGGCCACATTTTAATAAAAAACTAAAGTAATTTTTGTCAACATTTTCAAAAAAAACCCAGTCATATGAAAATATATTTTCTGACATAATGGAAACTAAAAATAAGTATCCTCAGGCAAGTTAAGGCCAAACTATAATGAAAATAATTTAATGTAAATAAACTAATGGTGGATGATATATTTCTAGGAGCATGATGATTTCTGTTTGTTTTTATTTTTTTCCAGGAACATTAGACTGTTCAAAAGAGTTTCTATTTAAAAAGTCATT